CCGGTTGGGGGCCCGGTTGGGGGCCCGGTTGGGGGCCCGGTTGGGGGGCTCGGTTGATTAACGCCCAACACTGTCCACCACCACCCGGAAACCAAAGCTGCTGTTCCTCACCGAGACGCAGATCAGATGTCCGGTTGACGCGGCGTACCTCAGCTACCCTGGGTATACTTTGGAGCAAAGGTTTTTACCTGGTGCCGGAGTCTGTGTGTACGTTCGCGATGACATCTGTGTCAAGCGTCTTAAGAACCTTCACGCACCGAGTTTTTCTGTTTTGTTGCTTCTGGTTGACATGGGAGTTACACAAATGGTGCACTGATGTGTCTACTGCTCGCACAGTGGAGATCAGGAGACCACCAAGCCGTTCCAATATCTGAGCGAGACTTCTGATGAGGATCAACATAGGTACCCAACGGCGCAACTAGTCATTCTGGGGGACTTCAATGCACATCATCAAGAATGGTTGTTCCTGTACCAGATGACCGATCATGCTGAAAGAGAGACGCGTAAACTTGCATTAACGCTAAGCCTTTCCCAGCTTGTTAGTGGCGCCACAAGGATCCCAGATCAACATCTGACTCAACAGTCTCATACGGCTAATTACTTGGACCTACTGCTAACAACTGATCCAGACTATACTCAGTGGTTGTGGATGCCCCATTGGGTACTTTCGACCACTGTCTGGTGAAAGATGTATCCGCATACTCACCACCTAATCAGGGCCCCAGTGACACGAGACGGGTGTGGCGATACAGGTTAGCAGATTGGGATGAAATGCGCCATTTTTTTGCTGCATATCCCTGTCAGGCTTGCTTTTCTTCAAGAGACTCGTCGAGCTGTGCTGATGCTGTAGTTGAGGTCTTGCGTTTGGGTGTGGAGCATTACGTATCATACTCTGATGTACCCAATGGACCCCAAGCTCATTCTTAGTTTAGCGCTGACTGTAGCCGTGCTGAAGCACAAAAACAGTCGGCGTATCAAGCCTGGGCAGATGCTCGACTGCACAAATCTCCGAGTACTCGGAATTTGAAGAAAGCTTTTAATGACGCCGCGAAGAAGTGCAAAAAAGTGTTATACAGGCAAAGTTCGACCATGTGCTCCTCATAGGGACCAAACTTGTCTCTTTTCCAGCAGGCAGCAAGTCTTTTTGGTCCCTTGCCAAAGCGGTCGAATAAAACTTTAGCCTCTCTACTTTACTACCTCTGCTGAGGCCGGATGGCTTGCTGGCTCATACCGCGAAAGATAAGGCGAATCTTTTTCCTTCACTCTTTGCAGAAAATTCGCGTCTGGATGCCGCAGGGAACCTACCACCTTCTTTACCTCACACTGGCTGCAGTATGGCGCCAGTTCGCATACGCGAAAAAGAGGTACTCAGAACTCTGTGACGTTTAGACAGGAATAAAGCTAGCGGGCCAGAGGGGATTCTAGCAATAGTCCTGCGTAACTGTGCGCCTGAGTTGTCTCCTGTTCTCACACGCTTGCGTCGCCTCTCACTTCAGACTGGTGTAGTTCCCAGGTCGTGGAAGCTTGCAAACGTGCAACCTGTACCCAAAAAAGGAAGCAGAGCTGACCCTGACAACTATCGACCCATCTCAGTGTCTTCCATACTCTGCAAGACTGTGGAATGTGTACTCAATAACCGTCTCCTATATTACCTTGTAGACAACGACCTCCTCAGTGATCGCCAGTACGGATTCCGACGAGGGCGATCTACTGGGGATCTTCTTCTGTACGCGTCTCATCTATGGAGCGTGGCTTTAGACATTTCTAAAGCCTTTCCCACTGATCTTTGCAACTGGATTTCGAATTTCTTGAGTGAACGTTCGATTCGAGTGGTCTTAGAAGGCTACTCTTCCGATCCGATCAATCTGAACTTCGGCAGATACATTAAATCCATGGCTAAAAATGCAGTCAGGAAGCTTGGCATCCTTTCCAAGGTGAGGCGTTACTTCAAACCGGGACGGTTGCTTCAGCTGTATCAAGCACAAGTCCGGTCGTGTATGGAGTACTGCTGCCACTTATGGGCTGGCTCTGCTAAATACTAACTGGCCACCTTAGATTTAATAGACAAGCGTGTCAAGAGGCTTATAGGTGACTCGAAATTAGTAGAGGCGAAGCTGCAGAGCCTTGAACACCGCTGTAAAGTTGCCTGCTTATTGGTATTCTACAGGATATATCACGGAGAGTGTGCGATGGTATTGCATAATTTGATTCCGCCTTCCCCTTTCCATCATCGGGGTACTAGACGTGAGCTGGGATTCCGCCCCTATGTAGTGGATATTCCCAGGATTCGCACAAAGCGTTTCGCTTCCACATTTATATGGCGAGCAGCTAGAGAGTGGAAGTGCCTACCTTCAGATTTGTTCCCCGAACGCTATAACTTGGACCTCTTCAAGGTGAGAGTGAATAGGCATTATTTAGATGTGCATGCTACATTGTCGACCTCATCATCACTTTCCATCAGGTGAGATGGAGGTCAAATGCGCACTTATTTTTTATAAAAACAAACCAAAATGTATTTTTGCCATACCAAATTAAAATGATTCGAATCCTATTAAAACAAAAAATACCTTAATCATTAATTTACGAAATGTTTGCTAAATTGATGTGAAACTCACATCTGTGTATATGACGATATAATGAAACTTTAATTTGACGAAAAAAAAAATGAAGATCGGTTGGGAATTCTAGCAGCAATTAAAATTTTAAACTTTCGAAAACTTTAACTTCCATTTATTCGAAACTTACCAATTGTGACTTGGATCTTTTTATTATAACTACGTCCAATTATAACAAACAAGTGGAGTAATTTTACAAAAAAAATGAATATGGAATATGGATTACTTACATAACACAGCTCAATCTGAAATACAATTTCAAGTAACTGCTATTTTAAATAGGTGACAATAATGTTTTATATAATTAATAATGGACTAGGTGCAGTAGACCTCCTTGAGAAAGAGTACGTTCAGATACGAGCTACCTTCTTACCTACTTCTGCCGCCAAGCACTATTATGAGCGTTCCGATTTTGAAGGGTGACAGTGCTGGTGAAACTTTTTGTACAATATCAAGTGGCAGGACGAATAACTCGAGCAGCTCATGGTAAGCTACACGCCTGCCCATAACAGTTGCAGTGTCATTCAGAGCTGTAAATCGCAAATGTCTGAGGCTGCACTATATGTCAACTGAATAGGTCAGTTGTTGGCGCTGTACTATTTCAGCTTTCTAATTTGTGATTCCAGTGCAGACGAGAGTTAATATTTAAAAGTGTTATAAGGCCCATTTGCCTTATGAATTGCCAGGGATGGATGGCCCTTTTTTCATCTCTATTTCTGCCTATATACTCGATTACTGTTATATACAATTGCCTAGACATTGCATACAAAGTCTATTAAAGTATTGTACAGAATGCCAGCCGTAGATTAGGCAAAGTATTATAAATGAAAGACAAAATAATGATATTAGCCATTTCTGTTTGGGTTTCGGAGATAGTTCGACGCCTCCTGCAGGTTTACGTTAAGTCAGCATATGAAAAAGGTGCATATAATATATAAACTAGGAATGGGGAAATAAATGTACCAGAAATGTTGCTTCATTTTAGTTACCTGTATAATGAAATGACAAATCGAGGTTGCCATGTGAAATTCTTCGTTTGTCGTGTCCATGGTCATAATTTTCTCGATCACCTCGCACGAACTCACCTGGGCATCAAAGGCAGAGGGCAGTCCGCTGTTACGCAGACACATCCAGAGCGGTGCATAGCAAAAATGAGCAGCGCCAAGTCATTCTGTAATTTTTTAATGTTTAATATGATATGGGCGAGACCTGTGTGTGGCTGACAGTTGTCATCGGCTGTGCGCGAAAATCTGTAAATCACACAACGTGGGAAGCCGTCTTTATGATGTTCTGATCAGGTAAATATCAGTATCAGAATAATGCCAAAGAATTTACTTACTTGTAGTTCTTCACAAAATGGAGTATGTATTTATTTATTCAACCTCGTCCTCTTCAACATTAAAGGAATTGATTACCATGGCAAAATCGGTAAAAACTGAAACAGAATTGTATTTTTTGTTAATAACATAATGCTAAATTATAACCAATTCAGTATTCATCGGTTATTCAATAAAATGTTTTTGTATTTTAATATATTTTTTTACATTAGTAGGTGTGTAAAAGTGGACGCATGCCAAAGATTCTTTTAATTCGTCCCTGAGAATGCGCAGCATATTATGTACAAACAGCAGCACATCAAACTACACATTGACGGATCTTGTTCCAATGCACTGGACGCGATATTCGAACTAAAACTGTATAGCTTGAAGTACTGTTAACTGTACATTCATAATCCTAATTGAAATGAAATTACGTTTGTTTTATTTTGTAACTTTTTCCTCCACATTTTTCTGTTCTTTTCAGTTTTTTTTCTTTTGCAAATATATTTTCTTTATTTGAAAAGACTACCAAAAATATTAGCAAATGTTTAAATTTGTATTGAATTGATATCCAATTATTTTTATTTATTTATTTATTTATTTAATAGTTTATTGTACAGGAAAAATTTAACAAGTCACAAAGAATACAAGCGAAATTAAAAACAAAAGGTTCTGCTTATTTCTAATACAAATTTCTTCCTGCAGACCTAAATACAGGACACTATAACTAAAAGAACGTTTTCTTTTTATGTGAAATTACTCCATTAGTTTGTTATAATTATTAATACAAAGATCAAACTCTTACAAAAAATGCCTTTGATCCGGCCGGATTCGAACCGACGTCTTCTAGCAAACCGTGGCAGACGCTATGCTAACCAAGCCACGGAACGAACCAGCGGACCTCACGTGTTCGATCTTTGTATTAATAATTATTAGCAAATGTTGACAAAATGTCATGTCGTAGGATATCCATTTCGTATTTTAAGATATACATCATCATCAACCCATTTATACGTCCCACTTCTGGGTACGGGTCTCCTCTCAGGCCACGGTTTACCCCATCATAATCCGCAAAGCAACCCAATGCGGGTTGGGGACTTCACACTTTTTCGAAGATTGTGAATGTACAGGTTTCATCACAGTGTTTTCCTTCACCGAAAGGCTTATGGTAAATTTAAAAATTAAATTTTGCACATAAATTCAACTCTGTTTGAGCGGCGGTAGATGAAACCATCAGGCTACCACGACTTTAGACGACAAGATATACATATAAAATCGCCTGTCGCACAGGATCAATAAATAAATTTTCCACCACTTCGATCCATCAGTAGGAAGGTTGATAATTCTTTTTTATTATAATATTTCAAACGCTCATTTGTCAAAGCGAAAACATTTGTGAACCTACCAACATCATTCATTTCATGCCTATACACTCTCGCCTTGGAAAATCCAACTTACATCATTCAGGGAACAAGTCTGCAGGCAGGGAATTCTAACGCTTCGTGAGAATCTGTGGAATATTCACAACATAGGGAACCCCAGCTTACATTTAGTCCCCTGATGATGAAAAGGGGTAGGAGGAATTAAATCATACTATCCCATCGCACATTACTCACTCATGCGAACGTATAATACGGTCATTTTAAAGTAAATTACATAATACGGTTCTGTGTATGAGCCCCTGTAATTTATTTTTAATGTAATATTTTTGGCTGTGAGAATCTTACACACCTAGTTAGCGCGTGTAATCTATTACTTGCATCCAGCGATTCAATTGACTGAGTCGATGCACGAGTGGATCGGAGAGGCGGAAAATATACATTTTCCATAGATAATTGAGTGATATCAGATTGTATCCCATGATTGGGGCGAAGCGAAATCAAAAAATAATTAATTTCTTTTCCAAAGATCATGAACAACGACTTCCAAAGTCACACCATTTCAAAGTTAATCGTCAGCCCTTGCAGAACAAATATAATGATCGCGAAGAAAACGTAACTAACCAATTCCAATGCCTATACTGAGGACAATCTCTACGCCATAATAGAACTCTGGTATGACCTTTATTCCCATTAATGCTATAGGACACCAAATCTTGTCGACCAAAACTCGAACTAACGCCATCACATGAAATAGAAGTAGTGAAAAAGGTAGCATAAGTAATGCTACCACAAACACCGGTATAACTTTTGGTATTTTCTGCAATGAAGGAGTCACTATGAAAAATCCTCCTCTAGGAGACTGGTCTACACGATCAAACCACATCTTCAATTTAGGTAAGCCCTTGGAAGCGGTTTTGCTTAATTTACAGTCGATGGCCCATGATACCTGACCCCTTAACCGACCATTTGGTTCTGGGTTTCCTAGATAGATAAGTGTGAAGAAAAGTGTTAAAGAAACTCAACCGTTAGCCTGGCCTTTAGTGGTAAAATTCATTTTGGTATGACTCCCTTTTGCATCATTAATGACTGATGTTTTAAGAATATTTTTAAGCCAATTTGATCTTTAACGTATATTTATATATGAGTCTATACAACTTCAAATGGTTTTAGTTGATGTCGCACAACACTGAACATGTTGAATCAATCACTTTGGAAAAAAAAACATATATATATAGTTAACTATTTGTTTTTAGATTTACTATATATTTTTTTGTTAGACAATGTACCGTGTAGACTGATTACTACACGGTAAAGTTTCATGATAGAAAAAAAAAACACAAACTTACCTCGAAATTTTACAAGAAAACCGCAGTATTCAATAGGTACTTTACATATACCAATGATTGTTTTTTATATCAACTGAATATAAATAGAACACGTTTAGCATGCGATATAAATTTTTCGAATGCCTTTAATTTCGTTTGTAAAAAAAGAATTTATTCTGAAATAAAGTGAGTGTTCTTATGGCGCTCGACTCAAGCAAAATGAACCATATTAGTACGTGAAAAATATGAATTCTAGCTGAAGTAGAAATTTCAACCGTATATGCGTCAACAGCTCTCAGAACCAAAAGGTCGATTTTACTATATTCCCGTACACAGTACGCACATACAGCATACTCGACTTACGCAAATTTAATCGAAGTGAAGTTTAACCGTGTAGGCGGACTTGGGCGAGCTGTAAGCACCGAGCGCGGCGAGTTTTCTTGTCACGTTTGATCGCACGCAGTTGATCGAGTTAATTTTATGACAAAGGCGCCACAGTGCGCTCGGTGGGCGAGCGCCTTTAACATCCACGCATACACTTAATAAATTCAATATTGCACATAGTCTGAATGTAGTTAGTTACACAATATGACAATAACGCACACACTCAAGATAGCCCCGCACTAGGGAAACCCTGTGTGGCGGGTGCCATGGATACACATAGATAACCACAAATTACACCCAAACTCACGAGAGAAATAAATGTAGGCACTACAAATATTTCTACCGGCCCGGGAATCGAACCTGGGACCTCTCCGTGGCAGTCATGGTAACCGTTCGACCAACTTGTTAGCTATACAAACGGCTTTACGGTGTCTTTTAAATTACCATCGCTATACCGCAGATAAATACCAGCGCGGTGATGCATAGTAGGGAACCACATACACTTAAAATAACTAAAAATACTATCATTGGGATTTGAAATAGTCCCTCTGCTTTGTACAATAATTTGCATGGATACCAAAAATACTGGCTTGCATGTAACAGTCCAGTGACCTGCAACAAGACAATAAATATTATCACAGATTACTTAATATGACATAACGCATATTAAAAACGAATATTTATATAATAACAAATCATAGTAAAACATCGAACAAAAATAAGCATGTTCACGGCTATACGATCAAGATTAGTGTTGTTAAAAAAACCGTTTTTTTTCTGAAGTGAAAAAAAACAATGAAAAAACATGAAAAAAAAACGTTTTTTTCTGGAGTATGTTTTTTTCTAAAAGTATGAAACTAAAAATATGACAATATGACAATTGTATTTTTTACTACATTTCCTCTTTTGTTGTTAATATTATTCTTCATAGATAAATTGCTCAAAATAAATGGACAACACTCATAGTGTTGTCAATTTGTGGCGAATTCCCCAAATTGCGGGGAATTTCAACTCGATTGGGTACTTTGTGAGATTGACGCTATGTGGGGAAAATGCGGGTATTCTAACATTTACCTGTTTTTTTAAATTTATCGATTGCTGTTACATCGTTGCTTTGATGATTACTGATAAAAACACTACTTATTTGTTTATCTAAAAGCTATATTAATATTTTTTTTCCACATCGCACATATCCCTTACATAGCAACATTTACATAGAACTATTAGCAAGCCGCTTATATAAAATTATTCGGTAGGATTTGAATGAAAGAAACGAAGACACAGAAAATTTTGATTACATTACAAGTGTGGGTAACACCTGTGACAGTAGTAACACTAGTAACACCACAAATGAACATGAAATTTTGTTATAATTATCATGGTAATTGATTTTAATAAACATGTTATATATACGTTCACATATATATTTTCTTAAAACAAAAGCTAGTGTCTTATTTTATTTCAGTTATTCCATTTTACTTTTTTTGAAAAAAAAAAACCAAATTTAGAAAAAAAACCAGGGCGCTGTGTTTTTTTTCATGTTTTTCTTCAAAAATGTGAAAAAAAAACACTTGTTTTTTTCAAGTTACAACACTAGTCAAGATACACCGCGATTTTTATGCCATATATATATAATAAAGCTTTTTAAATGTTAAGGATAACCTTACGTGATACCTAACATCTAGAAATATTTTTTTTATGATATCAAGTGACGGAACGAACGAGTTGTGCGCCTGATGGTAAGCGACACGCCGGTCCATAGCAGTCGCAGTGTCCTTCAGAGCTTTTTGCAAACACTTGAGAGGCACTGCCACCGCGCCCGTCACCCTGATCTATGAGTTGACATCTCATATGCCTGTAAATTCATCCTTTTTTCCTACCCTTCAAAACCAGAGCGCAGTAACGCTCACATTACTGCTTGGCGGTAGAAATAGCAGGTAAGGTAATAGGTAAGGTAGCAGTACTTCCCTGTTTTGCAGAAGAGCTCTACTGCTACTATATTTATGCGTGCGTGTACAGATGTGTATTTCGGTAGCTATCTATTCTATGATTTATTCCAAAAAAATTAAGCTTTGATACATTGCGACCCCATTTGAACTCTCCAGGTGACCTTTTTTAGCTTTCGGGAAATGGGATATATACCACATCTTTGTGATATGCTTCAGAAAGGACAGAACTTCGTGCTAATAGGTGATAAGTCAATGATATAAGGAGTGAATATTCACGACTTTCTAGTACCTAGACCCAAGGAGGGACCTTGAAGGTGGAACTAAAATGCAAACTTGCGGTAGTCATAATGTTAAAACGGCTGTATCGTTGTTGCCCTTTATCGGGATGCAACTCTATTTGCTTTCTAGGATATTTGCTGGACGTGCAAATTTTTACACCACCTGTGAACCTGTGGCAAAAAGAATATAGTTCTTACCCCAGCAAATAAACTAATAAATCCGGCTCCGAAATCAAGAGTGAAGTGTTTAAAACAATGAGTTCTTCTGGGGAAGCGTTTAAAGTACACCATTTCGTGGAAAAACTAAAACTTTTCAATAAATAAAAGGAATTCTAAAAATATGCAATATCATTGTTTATCAAAATATACAGATCAAAATTGGCCATAGATTGTTAAAAAAAAACTCGTGTATTTGTTTCTTTTTCGTTGCTTATTTCTCTCTAAGGAGATGAGAGATACGTACTCGTATTAAGCCTCAAGCTGGGTATACCAAGAAACACTATACTACGTGACTGCATCCGCAAAGTAGCTCATACACAGACATATTACGTACTACACGTATGTCAGTTTTGCGATGAAAGTAATGTACAAACTAAAATTATGGTGGCTCAGAGACTACATCAGATACTGGACTATGCAGATTTATGTTGTCCGGATTTGACAGTCACCCTACTTAATAAATTGGAACGGCTCCAAATTATGTGTGCAAGACATCTATGGACTTCGTAAGTTTGATCATGTAATAATTTATTGTTATTACTATTTATAATTTCTTTTATTGTCCTACAAAAGTATACAAGTAACTTTATTATTTATTATATTTATATTAATATTTATTTATGGGTTCTAATAATATAAGTAGTTATTATTATTATTTATATATTTAGTTTATTGATGAGCAGTGTATTTATTTAAAACGCTTTCATTACAAGATATTCTTTAGTTGCAACCCCCTTTCCAATTCTTAGAAATCGCTACTTAGCAATAAGGCCGCCAGTTGTACACTGGTTTACTCTGTCATACTTACATTACTGTTATGTGTTGTCATTGTAATTTTAATGTGCAATAAATAATATTTCATTCATTCAATACGATAGCGTCATTTGAGGAGTCAGTTTGGAAATAAGGTATACGCAATAGTTATGATGAAAAAACGTAAAACTAACACTGGCGATGGTCGCCATAATTTTTATATTATTCTTATAAAACGGACACTGGCACAAACCTAGTGGCCGCCCATTGGCCGCCATAAAGGAAATCTTAATTATTAACACTTATGTCTAATCACGATCTTCGATCGCTGCTTCGTATGTCATGGTAGACCAACGATATCTATCTATGTATTAGCGTTGGTAGACCTTCTGTTTCGGTAAACAATAACGTGTTAGGGCGCGTTTTTCCATACGAAATTCAACGCGCACACGCCGCGCGGACGCCGTGTGGCCGCCGCGCAGCGATCGCGTGCATATACGTGGGGCGCACAATAAGTTTCCGGAATGAATAAGAAAAAAGTATTATAAATGGTCGGAAATTAATTTATTGTTTCTCAAAATGTTCTCCGTCAGCGTTAATGCAGTTTTTCATACGAATGAACCAATTTTGAAAACATTTCATGCCATTCCTCCGTGACAATTTCTGAAACGCATTTTTCATACTCTTCGATAGCCTCTTCAGGTGATGAAAATCGTTGACTGCGTAACTGGTTCTTAATTTTTAGAAATAAATAAAAGTCACAAGGAGCCAGGTCGAGACTGTACGCGGGATGGCTCATAAGGTCAACGTTGTTCATCTTCAAAAATTCATTTGTCTGTCTGGCCGTGTGAGAAAAATTCATTTGTCTGACTGGCATTATCGTGGAAGATGATACGGCGTTTACGGTTATTTTTACGGAGTTTGTCAATAACTTCCGTCAAACAAATGATCGTGTACCAATCACTATTCACGGTACAACGCTTCTCCAAAGCAACAGTAGCCACGTGTCCAGTTTTATTAAAAAAAGAAGCAATCATCCGCTTAGAGGCACTTTGCATGCGCGCCACTTTAGTTGGTTTCGGCTCATCTCGAAAGACCCATACGCTCAATTGCTGCTTTGTTTTGGGGTCGTAACTATAAATCCATATTTCGTCACCTGTTACTATGTCCCACACCAAATTTGACGCCCCTTCGTTGAATCTGGTAATAAGGCATTGCACCAAGTGACGCGATCCGTTTTTTGGGCCTCAGTCAAATTGTGTTGGATCCACCGAGAGCACAGTTTTTTCACACCCAAATGTTTGTGTAATATTGATTGTATTTGACTCATGCCTATGCCTAAACATGCCCAAATCTGATGGTATGTCACATGCCTGTCTGTTTTGATCATACGGTGCACACCATCGATGTTTTTGTTGTTCACAGCAGTGGACGGGCGACTATCACGAAATTCGTCACTGAGAATCACACGACCGCGTTTGAATTCTGCAAACCAGCTATAAATAGTCGTCTTGCATGGTGCTTCATCGTCAAAAGCAGTTTGAGAGCTGTTAAATTACACTTAAAGTCGTAGAAAATCATACTACCAAAATTTTGACGAGTTAAATCTTAAATCATGGCTATGTAGACAACCAATTTCTAAAATGACGCCACAATGTAAAAACAAGTGACAGTCAGATGAAACAAACTGTATTTTACAGCCAAAGAGTTCCATTTTCAAATGTTGTAATTACTTTTTAAATATTATTTATGTAAGTGGCTAGTTCCGGAAACTTATAGTGCGCCCTATGTAACTGTCATGGCAAAATACGTTCTATGTATTTGGCTTTTAAGTTTTCACTTATGTAATGTTATGTAATGTTGTTGCTCAGGAAATATAATTCAGATTCGCCATTAATGTATGTGAGAGCGCGGTAACTGTGCGGCCGCCGCGCGGCGGACGCGCGATAGCTTTCGCGTCGTGTAACTGGGCGCTTATGGTTACAATTTGAGTGTTCTCTCGATTTAGTGCTTAGTCATATGACCTGCACCGCAACTGCAAAGCAGATCATCATATCAGGTCATCAGCTATTGTGTAAAGTTGCAGTTGATAAAAATTAACGCCAACTTCATCTAGACTACAAACTACTACAAAGAAAACAATACGAACTGTGCGAATGAGGAAAACAAAATATTTTGTTGTTCTTTTCACAAAGAACACAAAAAAGAAATAAATTTCTCATGAAAGAAATGTTAGTAAAAAAGATTTTCTCTAACAGATCAAACCTGTTGAATGCTAAAGCGTCGACTGCATCCTAATTGTCTTATGACTGCACTCCAGCTGTTATTTTGCAAATGCAATGCAGTCGTGAGACAATTAAGTGGCAAGTATTTGAAAGAACGCAAAAAATGAGAACGATATAAAAAAAATTAAAGAAAAACAGCTTCAGTAGCAAGCAGCTCAGCAACCAAGTTGTCTAAAAAAATCAGCTACTATCAAATCTCTGGGTGGTCATAAAGAACCACGAGACAGTGTCGATGGGGCTAATGTGGTTCGCTAACGGGCGTGGCCACTGATTTGTGGTCTCGTAAACACGCCTAGGTCCACGGGCGATGGGAAGTATGGACTGGACGCTTTTATATCGCTTTACGCGTTTTCTGGGAATATGTTAGTAGTGACGTGACTCCACTGGGGATATTGTATTCATACCATCGATGATTTATGGAACTGTATACACTTTATAATAGCAGAGCTCCTTGTGAATGAGTTCGTACAGGAAGTACTGTCACCTTACCTACTTCTACCGCCAAGCTGTAATGTAAACATTACAGCGTTACGGTTCGGAAGGGTGAGGGTGCTGTGGAAATTTCAGACACATGAAACGTGTCAACTTACGTCTCAGGGTGACGGGTGCAGTGACAGTGCTCCTTAGATCTTTGCGGTTTAAAGCTCTGAGTGGCACTGTGACTGTTATGGGTAGGCATGTCGCTTACTTCCAATTTCATAAGCACATCACTGCTCGGCAGCTGGTAATGTAGCAATACTTCCCTGGACGACTTTTTTCACAAGAATCTCTACTGTTACTAAACATATATTAAATGGGAAAATTTTGCTGTGAAAGTATCGTTTTTAATAACTAGGCGTTATTCCGCTTATCCGCTAGTTGAATAATCCCATACCAAAGCTCAAAAAATGCCTATTCCACATTTTGCTGGTTCGAGGAAGGAAGAACGTGATGCCCGTGTGGTCTTAGTATGCCGTATGTATATCTCCTTTGGCGGGACATGCGATTGTGGAATGTTCCTCTGAGCACTCCCCTTTGTACAGTCGGTAGAACACACATTTTTTTGATCATTCTTTAATCGTGAAACAAAGACAACGGGTGCAGGTCACAGCAGCATGCAACGCAGCGCATGCAGCGCGGCAGGTCTAATTTCGTATATTCATATGGACGACAAAACATCGGGCGCGGACGTTAGACGGGCGCACGCGCGGCGGTTTGTTGTCGTCCACCACACGCTGTCGTCCCGCATCTGCTCTATGTGTGTTTCACGTTTTAGTTCTTCTCATCTCATAACTTAATTTAGTGACGTAATGTCCCCAATGGAGTCACATCCGCACCCGCATATTGTGAAAGTTCAGTGAAAATGTAACAGATTTTCTATTACTGTGACCCTTCGCTCTCGAGATATAAGGGCTCACTTAAATCAAAGTCACAGCATCATTTAAAAACTTTGTACAGTTATCGCGAGAGATAAGAGTAATCTCGATACCTCCAACCTACATCTCTAGAAATTCGTAACAAGTACAACGCTGAATGGAGTTCCGTGGTCGGTGAACCCTTAACATTTTCTTTGTACTCTCCCCACGAAACGGACGGACAAATTGTCGCAATGATTTACTGACGGCACTTAATAAATAACTTGGGAACTTTCGTGGTGGAATTGTGTATTTTCGTACCCTCCCATTTCACCCGTGTTTTGTACGACAGATGCAAAACTTTGTAATTTGTAACCCCTCCATAAGATACTGTTTACCTACAGTTAACTTGTCGCACACGAAACAAAATATTGTCGTAACTCAACATTGTGGAATTGAGAAAAACGATTTGAAAAAAAAAACAACTGAATGACACCAATTATTCTCGATAATAATAATATATATTCTGGTATTTAAGCTTTTACTGTACCTTACCTGTATATCGCACCTCCTCCGGTGAAATAGGGACTTACATTTTGTTATGTGGGTAGTTTTAAGTAGAAACGCGGCTGCGCCCCGCGTCGTTTTTGAGTCAGAATATACGTGTATGACTGAATTTTTAT